TTTAATAAATTTGTACTATTGCAATATTTTTGAACAAGTACACAACATTGACAACTTTCCTTCTAAATGGAAGGAGGTACGAATGCAACACGCATACAGGAGAGTATTAAGCAAACTTATGGGCTCCTATTATTTTTCGTTCCAATATCGATAGCATTCAAAAATGCTCCACAGAAGTGGTCTTCAAAAATTATTTCGTCACTGTTAAGAAGAGCACTGCTGAGGTTGTGTAAGAATTTGCTGTCAACTGATAGTTATAGTAGCTGTCAATTGATAGTTAACAGTAGTTAAAATGAATTTTGAATTGAATTTGCCTTATTTTACGTGGCGAGACTCAGGCCATGAGGCCTGCTCTTCCGTCTGACGACGCAAATTTCGCTACGCTCCTTTCACCAACTAGCAGAGGAAGGAGGTATTTCTTGGGCGAGAAACAGGCGATTTGAATTTAGCTCAGAGGCGTCATTTAGTTTGAGGATCTTTTACATGCAAGTAAATGTACTAGCATGGGGCAGCCGGCTTTATTACCCCTCCGAAGAAAGGCGTACGAAGGATTTTTTCGCCCCTTAAAAATCCACGGCTTCGATCTGGTTTGACCTCGCGAACTTGGGTACAATAGTCCGGTACGCTAACCGTTACACCACCGCCGCCGCTAAGGTTAAAATGTTATTACATTAAAAAAATACAAACAATATCAAAAGTGTAAAGTCAACTTTAGATGATACATGTATATTTAATTTATCAAAAACCGATTATTAATTTTCGGAATAAATCAGAAGAGCATCGAAGAGAATCACTTCACACTCTAAAACAGACCGATTTAATTGAAAATCAAGAATAAGCAAGTAATTTCTTGATTGTAATTATAAATTTGTATCCTCATATTTTTCCTACTTCAGTATCTAGAAAAGAAAGGTGAACAACTTAATGCTTAAACAATAAAATTTTATTGAAAAAATTATATCTGATTGTTTGAGTCGTTATGGTATTCCCATAATTTATTATCCCACCCATTATCCCATTATTTCCTATTCTGACACAGAAACGTCGTTTATTTTTCCACGATTTCATTAATTTCTGGTTCAGTCACGCCGACGTTTCACACACGGTTTTTTATAGAATGCAATATAAATTACGTTCTCACGATGTTCACTTTGTCGTAGTGCCGGCCATTGTATGCACAGCATGGTTAATAACTGCGGACATTCACGGCACTCAGTGATCGAAGTGCTTGCGGTATCCCTTCTTCTAACTTTCACCTGAAACCGCAAGACAATTTATTTATGCACCCTCTGAAATAATCCGCTTTTGCTCAGGCATTTATTCTCCATATTAATGGTTCAAGCCGCTCCGGCTACCTCGCCATTCGTACCGGCTGGGCTCTGCTCGTCCTCACACTTGCCCCCCCTCACCCCTCGTCGGCCGTCCTCACCACTCCTGCCCTCTCAGCTCTCCACAAGCCGCCCTGCTCGCTACACCTGGCTCCATTCGGTCTTCCTCCACGTCGCATCGCCCAGAAACAAAGCCGGCGCCTGAATGTGCTGCGTGTTGCGTAAGTCCTCTGAACAAAAATGTTAGGTTCAACCAAATTTGTAGCAAGAATCACGAACTCTCCTGTATCCAAATCCGGCTATTCAAAAGGCGATATTGGAGAGCAATCACACCAATGGATCAAAGGTTTGTGTGAAACACAGTGCTTTCTTTTTGTAGAAAGAAAATATTTCGATAATAGAAGCTTCATGTAAAAGCACTTTATTATCAAAGCCAGTTTGGGCAGTTGGTTCAGCATTTATAAATAATTGTTCATGATAACTGCACATGCCTATTATCTACTAAGATATTTCAGAGTTAAATTTATCAGAATGACTTCGAGAATGAATGAAATTAAAATGGAGAGATTATAAGTGACTGCATACAAAATGGTGATACGTCCAACGTAAATAAATATTGTAATAATGTATTTTGTATCGCATTTCTCTCACTCGAAGATTAGCAACAGACATCATTACTGTTACAACATTTGTTTCCTTTAGATAGTATGGCCTTGCATTTACAAAAATTATTAGTAAATATCTCTATGTGAGAATCATCAAGGACAAATAAGTAATTTTCACTGTGCCGTGCATCGTGTTTATCAGCGTAGCAAGGAGGAAACACGTGAGAGATTCAGAACCACACTAACTACAGTGTGACTGCTCACTGCGGAACGAGGATGATGCTATTATTTGTAACAACCTGCTCTGGCTTTGCAACTGTTAATTAGCAGGAATTATCCTTTCATCAGAATCCACATTGAGACTGTTACTATTGCGTAACTTTCGTGATACCACGATTTGCAATTTCATTTTCAAAATTGCATCGTACATTTCATGTTGTGTGAGAATGCGAAATTCACTTTCAGAACATACATTTCAGAGGGCGTGACAATTATTAATTTACACAAAATTCCTCCTGTTTGTGGTCACAAACATGAAGAAGTCTTTTGACTAACATCTTCATTTTTAAGTATTTATTTAAGATACAATAAAATCATCAAGTTACTTTTCCGATATTTACGGAGAATCGATGGAATGAATCCTCGGTTTTTGATTTATTTATTCATTTGCTATACATATGGCAATTTAATTAACCATTAAATGAATTGAATTTTACACTCACATTCGTAAAGTTTGCATCTTTTCATTGTGACAATTTGTGACATTCACGCAGGTGTCGAAATTGAATCACGCATTATCTTGATTTCTGACAGTGGCAACCGTGCCCAGTAACACGTACTAATAATATCTGCAATTAACGACAAGGAATATAATTAAACATAGTATTATATTATTTAATATGTACCATTTTCTGGAAGAAGTGAACATCACATTTAAAGATTGCCATTTGAGTCGTATAGACTAAATAAACTTTAGAAAATGCATTTATACCATGAGTGAATATCGAATTTGACCTAACAATGAAGATGTAAACCCCCACCACATACATAAATATTACCACAACGACCAAAGCTTAAGCAATTGTAAATTCGATAAGCGTAATATGTCAATTCAAGTCTTTTTCTTGAATTAATTTCATTTCAATGTTATTTTCGGGATTTATAAACCTCTCTCAATACAAAAGTTCATACATGCATACACACACACACACATACTCATATCTCGCTCCGGACCTCGCTCAGCTGGGCAGCTGAGTCACAAACCGTTAAGGTAAGAGGAAGTGGATAAACGCCCTGCATTCGTATGTCAAGATTGTATAAGCATTTTTGAGAAAACTTAGAAAATGACTTTGAGGCTTCATGTAACTGCACTAAAAAAATCGAATTGAAACTCCCAAAGCGAGTTTAAAGCGAAGAGGGAGTATAAGTTTTGGAGAAAATTGACTTAACGGTTTGGGCTCTAGAGTTGACCGTTCACTACAGACGGACGCACGTTTTGCCGTCAATCAATTTTTCGGTTCGAAGGACCCCCCAAAAAATTCAGATATCTCCATCAATGTGGCATCTCCGCAGTCAAGACAAGCTTTGTGCTCCCGACTGGCCTTCCTGCATGTGTGATAGTGTAGTGCATACACAATTTATGTGAATGACAGGAAAAGGGAACAAGGATAGGAAGGAAATATCGCGCGCAGTCCGTGGCCCGTTTGGTTATTGTTTGTTTTTCGGTTGGTTGGTTGGTTGGTTGTTAGTGATCCCGGGTGCGTCAACTACTGAGGTCATTAATCCCCTGAGTGTAGTCCATGTTTTTTCCACGACAGGCAGTAATCTTACCGCGCAGGAAGGCGATATCCGGCGACGATCTACCGTCGGATGGCAGGGTGTCCCAAACCATAGTTTTTCGGCATTCAACTGGGATTAACGCGAGAAACCACAGAAAACTACCGATCGGAGCAGTCGGCCTCTTAAGATGAATTGCTGTGCTTTAGATAAGAAACAAAACATGTGTACTTCATGATCTGTCCGGGTGATGGCTAAGGGGCCTCGTCGTCTGGTCGATGTCACCTCAGCCTTCGAAATGTCTGGTCGATGGCACCTCAGCCATCGACGCGGCGTCACCCGGACAGCCCAGATCATGACTCTGGCCGCGGAACCCTTCGACATCATGTGTACTTCAATCATAGACCTCGTGATTATCTCTTTGTGTCACTTTCGTGGATCAAGATAAGCGTAAAACTGTTAAATAATTTGGATCACGCCAGGTTTCAAAAATCACTCCGAACGAACGGGAAAACGGAGAAAACTGTAAGTTACAAGTTTTAAACTCTACAACTCTTAACGTTTATTCGTCGAATACTTTCTCTGATCACTTTTAAAATTCCCTCTCGCTGTGGGTCATCCACGATTTGCCTGCGTGATTATTGGGTCCCCTACTGAGGGGGTGGGAGGAGGAGTCGCCAGCGCTTGCCCCACCTGGAATCCCTTGACCTTGATGAGCTCCTTGGCGCGGTCCAGGATGAGGAAGTCGCCGTTCTCGTCCAGCCGGCCCACGTCGCCCGTGCGCAGCCACCCGCCGGCCGCCAGCGTGGACGCCGTGTCCTCAGGCCGCTGCCAGTAGCCGTTCATCACCTGCGGGACAGACACGTCCGCTGAGGGCACGCTCACGCAAAGCAATCAAGTCGTGTTCACAAGTTATAAGTGATCCTCGTGTATTAGGAGGATTATGAAGGTACGTAAAGAAGAATGAGTGATGTGATTGGCATAATATCCTTTCAATTTATTTTTTCTTCTCCGCTCCCCCTCCCCAAATGGCATTTAATCTATTAAGGATGTTTTCAAACTTCCGGAAGGTTAAGTTGCAAATTTCACAAAAGTATTAAAGATGCAAGCAAGTTAATATTTATTTTAGTGTTTTTTCTATCCTAATACGAGAAATGTAACGGTTTTATTTCGTGGGATCAATGCAAGAAACATGCTCTGAGCCAAGAGTTGTTTGGTCTCTTTTAGACTTTTCAAAATGACATGAAATTTATTTTCTAAAATATGTCAATGATCAATACATTTAAATACTTCAGAAAATCAATTCTTCAGAACTCAAGTCTTCTGTGACTTTCTTAAAATACAAAATCATTCATATTTACAAATGATCGAAGTTATAAGTTACACTTAACCCACGGTTCGACATACCTTCATTTTCTGTCCTTAACTTTGAAAATTCTTATAGCGAATACTTTCTTTAATTTTATTCCTAAAAGGTAGAATTCAGTTAAGTACACGAAAGATCACCAAGATAATAGTAATTTTCCCTAGTGTAACTATCCTACTGTGTTTCTGTGGCTTAAAACACAAACTACACCTGGAGATCAAAACATCTAAAGCAACGAAGTATTAACAGAAGCTAGGGTCGAGAGAGTTCAGCTACTCCATGCCAAACTACGTGTGTGAAAAACAATTATTTTGGGAAAACAAAGTTTCAGTGTTTTTCTTTGAACGTAAGTGTTTAGATAGTGTGTTTTTAAGCTAAAAAAATAATTGAACTTCGTCAAGATATTCACAAATGTCTGGTTTAAAGGCGCCTCTTTGTGAAATAGCCCGCAGAACTGTAGAGTCGCGGTAATTCGAGCCTCGATAATCCTAGATTCAGTACAATCAGAGATGGCCTGGTGAGCGCCAAGTCACTAAACAAACACGCAAATGGCGATAATGAAGAGCTGGCTCATGACAAGTGGGCAACACTTTGTCGAAGGTCACGTGTGCGGTGCCAGTCTCAGTCTACTACATTGTTGTGACCGGTTCGCATGTTCGGCATGTTTGTATGTTTCTTGTATGCCCATGTATGTATGTATGCATATGTAAAAATTCTTGTTAGCGTTAGCACGTTCAATTTGAATTCATTTTACATAGTTTAAAATATTTTCCTATTTGCCGTGTAATCCGAGTTTTTTGTAATCCGGGGTATCACCAGCCCCAATTACCTCACAGTATTACGACTCTACTGTTTATGCAATGGAACGTACATATCGCATTTTGGGGAATAATGTTGGTTACTGTGTTTCGTCATGGAGCAGCCGAATTCACCTCGCTCTTCCGCCACCGTTCGCCCGCCGCCGACTACGTCGCTCTCGATATGTCGGGGGTGGGGGGGGGGCGATGCGCGCACTCACCTGCGGGCCACGGAAGCAGAGCTCGCCCTCCTGGCCGTGCGGCACGGAGGAGAGCGTGTCCATGTTGATGACGACGGCCTCGGTGGCCGGCACCGGCGGCCCCACCGCCCCCATGAAGCCCTTGCGGCCCTGCGTCAGCACCGGCGACGCCTCCGTCATGCCGTACCCTGCGCATGCGCACACTCGGTTCACTGCACTACCTCCATCTTGTTCATGCGATTTTAATGGGAATTGAAAGCGTACCCTGCGCACCCGTACCCTGCGCATGCGCACACTCGGTTCACCGCACTACCTCCATCATGTTAATGCGATTTTAATGGGAATTGAAAGCGTCGAGTTGTGTTCGGTGAGGGAGACGGGGCAACCCTCTCCGCAATATTTTGAAGCCAATACATTAGTAGTTTTATTCCAATGTCATCTATATTACCCATTTCCAATGCTCGCAGAAATAGAAAGAAAACTCTGCAACCATTTGCCACATGAGACACAGATGTCGAAAAACTCGAGAAAAAGCAAAAACCATCAAACAGTTTTGATTTAGACAGTAAAACGCAAATATTAACTGTGCTTACACAATTATTCTCAAACTGTGCGAACAGTCAGAATTCTTATACTCACTGAATCACTACTTACGATGCTATAGATGTGACAGTAATGCACCAAAAAAGACCAGCCTATAAAAAAATTGCTATTCACGTGTTGCGTAGCGGAACAGCAAACGTTTTAAATTGTTTGTATGAAAAAAACCTGCTGTACTGTATTTACACTATACCTGCTGTACTATATTTACGCTATACCATGCTATTGCAGTTTTTGTGAAAACCATTTTCTAAAACTATTTAATTTTTTGCAGGGTTATACAAGTGTATTTAGTGTTGTATATTTGTTGTTCTTCAGCCGTGTGAGTGCTACTTTTTGGGTAACAACTGCTTGGTTTTTTTCAGCAGCATTTTAGCTGCTACTTGTCACTACATATTTACTAAAGACACTTCCAGTGTAAGAATATTGGTCAATCAAACTCATTAGTTTCAGTGTAATATACAATAACAATATTCATTTCATAACAAGGCTGAGGCTCAAAATATTTTCTCACCCTCGTTAGCCAAAACCGCATAGCGAAGAAATATTACAAAGATGCTGTTGAACAGTTGGGCAGCTGTAGAGCACAAGCCTACGTTTCCATGTCTAAAGATGATGTCCAATAAGAGGCTAAGCATATTGTTTACTTATTAATATAACTTCCGCCATCGCCGCCACCCTCTCAATGTCTGTGGTTGTTAAGTTTGTAAGTGTTGATATAGTTAACTTCAAAAAAGAAATAAAACAACTTACGGCTTGAAGTAAAATTACACAAGAAGCTCACCATTCCTTTTATGCCCTATCTGTTTTATGCGCTAGAGATACTCAGGAATGAAAGTAGCAATAATGTTTTCAATAATACATGGAACCTCGTTTTTTCGAGAACTGAAGTCTACAAAATGTTGATGCCTAAAACGTTAATAATTTTTCAGTCAACTCTCTATGCACAGATGCTTGGCTATGCAAACCTCGGTAAGTGGTTTCTCTTGTAGTTGTTGGTTTCGTTGTCTTATACTCAGGCTCTGGAAACTTGTCCCTAGGCCCATTTTTCTCTCAATTTGCCGACAGAGATTGTCAAGTTTTCTGTTAGTTTATCAGTTATTCAGGTCGTTTCCTGCCTGAGAGATCATGGGACCTGATCAGGTCTGCGATTGGTGGAGGATTTGATTTTACCGGTCTCCTTTCGAAAGTATTATTCGTAACATGGTATTCACAAGAGTTTTCGCGACAGTTGTGTTAAAATACGTCACTTCGAGTTGGGTTCAGATTTGGAAAGTCACTGTGTGCTACTTAGCCCTTGGTAAGTCGTCAAAGTTGACAACGTTTTGTTTTCTTTTCTCACCAAGTTCGAGATTCCAATGTATATTTTGACTCGTCTGTTCCCACTTTTATTTGTTTTTACTTCTTTCATTCGTAATTTGTACAATTGCCATTACAAGTTTTGATCGATTATATTTGGCTGAAGATATCTTTGCTACAAAACGTGATAAAGTTTGTGATCGAGATTTCAAATGTACAGTGCTAAATCACATACAATTCGACAAGGGGCGGGTTGAATCTGTATCGCTATAGATTTATCTTTCATGTCTTATCAGAGCGAGAGATATTCGCTCAGATGAATATTTGAGACTTTTCAGGAGTAAAAATGGCTTCGTGATAACATAATTGGCAATTCATCGCCAGGAACTCACTGAAAGAAGTTTTATCTTTTTATTCAATACTAACTAATTTGCTTCTTACCTCAGAGCTAGCATTGCCGCTGTTTCTACAGCATCTCTGTCCGGGAAGTCCTAGGTTTCGAGTTCCAACGGTGGCAAATTTTCGATGCCAGCCAGATAGTTAGGTCGAATTCGGCAGTCATCTGGAGGGGAATTGCAGCGACCGGCTGCTCTGATCGGTAGTTATGCGCGGTTTCTCTGATCCATACCAGGTGAATACCGCAGTATTCTATCAAACGGGCCACGGATCTCATATGATCTGTTTTTCCCTCTTCCTGGTCCTATACTTACACACCCTTACATGCACACCATTTTTAGGCACTACACTACCACACGCACTGGGAGGTTTAAATTTGTCCCTGCTGGGATGGTTCCCTGGGGGAGATACCTGGAGAGGAATCTTCGTTGGCGGGGGAGGAACACCCCCACTTCCAGACTTAAAAACATTCTTTCCACTAAAAGATATAACGACCAAAGCAGTACACGTATCCGGGAACATCAATTTCAAAGAAGGAGACGAAACCACACGGGAGCTACCATTCTGGGAAGGATAGACGTTCCTGGCAGTAGAGCTTAATAACATTATTATAAATACAACATTAATACTGACTTATCGAACTCGTTAACTGCTAGCAATTCATTAGGAGGAGTTTATTGTAGAGGTAACTTGAGTACAAGTAAGTGAAGGGACATAAAAAGGTAATGGCGGTGAAGAACAAAGAATCAAGACGTAAAGGAAAGAATGAAGAAACATACTACTCATCAAGTGAGTGGAGATGATTTATAGGTTTAAAATTATATTTTTAAAAGTAATGGAAATGCAATGACTATTGTGGGCACTTGGTGTGTAACATTCCTTCTGTACTAAATATAATTGCTACTTTAACAGACGATTTGAGGGAAATATCTGAATGATATTTAAGTGTATCATTAAGTATTTATGTAACTGTTTTCGTTCCAAATGTTGAAGTCAAGAACCCGATGACATAATATCGAAGAATAAAATAAATAATTAACTGCCGAAGCGAGCAAGAACAATGAACTAAGCGATACTACTTTGGGCCTTGAGATAGACATGCCTCAAGACCCTATGTAGTATCGTTAAAGACAAGTGAAGACACGTAAAACCCTATGTTTATACGTGAAAAAGTTCAGTAGTATAAGTTTAGTTGGCAAGCGAGGCCAGTGTGAAAATGATAAGGTTAATGCATATTAGGTAGAATCCTCTGAGCTATTTACCTACAAATTAAAGGTGAAACTTATGCTATTATCGTGTATTTCATGCATATAAAACACCCATGGACGATAAGAAGAGTTCACAGTTTAATCGACTTTGCTTATCTCGTATTCAACCATATCTCGAAGGCGTCCACTGATGCCTAATTTTACCCGTTCGATTACACGTGCTTAACAGAACAAGTTTCACTTTTGAAGGTTTTACTCAACTTTGTTAGCATAGATATTTATCCGCTGCGGCACAGATATATGGTTAACCTTGTCACTAGTGTTTGCCATATCACTCATGCGAATGCGAAAAATTGGATCAACTTTGCAATTCAACGAACCCCACCAAGTTCTATTCTAATCAAGGTCCTATTCGTATTCGATAAGCCAGAAAAGAACGACAAAGAACAAGTACAAATGAGTCAGACAGTTTTATGACGATCCATGGCGAGAAATTTCCAATTCAAAAACAGTTATCATTGGGCGCTTAATTGGTGAAGAGTGAACATGCCCCAAAACAGACCTTTGAGAAATGGGTTATACACAAATTTACATAGCCTGGACATTAGACAAAATGAAGGATTTTTTGGGGGCATGTGCGTTAAAGACACTTTATACTCCCCAACTACAGTCCGAATCTGTGCGCGTAAAAGGGTAATATAAGGTTATAAAATACAGTTTTTAAAGCAAACCTTTTAAAGCTGTGTTTGACTTTTTAAAATATCATTTTTCTGTCGTTTACTGTCGAAATTATGTTTGTAATAATGAAAAACAACTTATTATTTCAGCAAACACGATACAACAATAACCTACGAGTAGAATAATAAAAACCATTTTGCGAAACATTAATTTATAATTCATAATATATGAGGCTTTTTGGTATTAAGAAGCAACTATTAATTTGAAAAAAAATATTTGCGAAAAAGATATCTTGGTTGCAACCATAATCAAAACTATACTTTAATGATTGCTGTGTTATTTACTGTTAAGGGAGTTTCAACATCTGCGGTGTCTTGGTACTTTACGCATATTATACCCAGAGGTGGCGGTTTCCTCCCCTTCTTAATGGTGATAATCAGGTGCTGCCCTCGGTCAATGGCTGTGATACTGCTGACAGCTGGGGAGTTTTCTCTCTCCAGGTGTCTACTCCAAAGGGCCATCGCCCCAGTCAGACAAGCTCTACGTTTACCACTAGTCTCCCCACATATGCGATGGGATAGTACATATAAGTGTGTGTGTGTAGAGGGAAGGACCGCGCGCGGTCCGTAGTCCCTTTCGTTATGGTACTCCGCCGGCATTCGCGTGATATTGACGTAAGAAACCATACGGCAAATCAATCAGAACCGCCGTTCGCCTCCAGACAGTGGTTGAATTCGCCCTGACCATGCAGCAAAGCGTCGAACATCCGCCCCGTCGGGACTCGAAACCAGGGCCCTCCCGGCCTCAGACTCCTCAGAGGCAATGCTGCCACTGAGCCGCCGCAGCCGGCGAGCACGGTCATAGAGCGCCTTCCCACGTCGCGACAGCGGCGCGCTTCCGTCAAGACTCTCGCTACGCGAAGCGGAGAAGGTGGTACGCGCCACCGCTACAGAACACAGCTTTAAATGGGAGCCTTCCCACTGCGACCGCCTGTAACTGCGGTTTACCTGCTGCGGTCCCTTTGTTCGACGTCGCCGGAGAGTCGGCGAAGAGCCCCGCCGATTGACGTACAACGATTGACTCGGCCTCTTGTGCTAGCGGCGTCGGCGACAGGTGAAGCGCGTGTCTGCGCGTGTAGGTGCACTAGGGCGAGGGGCCAGCAATTCACTGTCGTGACTTGCGAGACGCGTAGATAGTCTCAAAGTAGAGCGGCTTCATACAAGGAACATCGGTGGTATGTTGCGGTGGGGTAGCCGTTCTTAAATTATCTCTCCTTGTAGTGGGTCTATTTATTTAGTTTATTGTGAGCAGGGTAGTTGAGAGTACGGTCTAGATTGTTAATAAATCTACAGTTTTACAAACCACTCTAGTCTGTGTCCGATTACACCCGTACGACGCCCCAGGCGAAGGAGAGATTAAAAAGGGGCAAAGGCGTGCGCAGTTACCTTGCACGAGGTCGATGTGGTGGGAGGCGCGCGAGAGCAGGCGCTCGGCGTCGGCGGCGGCCAGCGGCGCGGCGCCGCACAGCACGAAGCGCAGAGAGGCCAGCGTCGTCCGCCCGGCACCGACGGGTGGCCCGCCAGGAACAGCACCAGCGGCGGCGCCCGCGAACAGCCCCGTCGCCTGCGCACCCGCACCCCCGCCTCCTCAACCAAGAGCTCGGCGCTCCAAATTTATTCGAAATTGAGATGCGCCTTCTCACTAATAGACGCCTGGTATCATATATAGTTGTATATATATATATATATATATATATAATATAATATATATATATATATAGAGGAGAGAGAGAGAGAGAGAGAGAGAGAGAGAGAGAGAGACAGACAGACAGACAGACAGACAGACAGACCGAAAGATTGATAGATAGATATATTGCTAAAGATCTTGCAGCTTCCGGACCGAAATAAAGTTCTGCGGTTTTTGGAGAGTTTTTGGAGATCGCTCACTAAAAACTGCAGAACTTTGTTTTCGGCCCGGAAGCTGCATGCTCGTTACGCGATCGAAATGATCTTTAGCAATATATATTTCTTTGATATCAGACAATATCTCATATCAACTTTATTGGACGTTTTATTACATTTTTGAAGGGCACTTCCCTTCGTGACATGGGTTTGAAGTTGGGTTCTAGTACAAAGCTCTTTTTACTTTGAACATTTACGGAGTGAGAAATGGTCGCACATGTTCATCCAGTACTTTTTATTATGAAACCATGCCAAATTCGTATAACCATGTCTAGAAATGGAAGAATAGTGGAAATGGGTAGGTGGTCATTAATATATATTATTATGAATGATGATGGGAACATATGGAATGATGATGGGAAATCCTTCCAAAAGCTTACTTCGCCCGCAACAAATTCCAAGTCGATTAAAATCCCGGTCCCAGGAATTTCTGCAGCTAGCAGTATGTCACTCAATTAGTCTGACCACTACACCATGGGCCATCCCAATGCAAACATTTTATACATAAGAGAATGTCAGGGACGCATGAATTTAGAAAATTCGTTAGCCATTTCTATCCTTTAGGAATTTCAAACACCTTTTTCTGAGTTCCTTAGTGGTACACACGTTGTTAGTTGCAAGAAGTGCAGTTAAGAGGTATTTTTGACACATTCGTGTGACTGGAACGTTTGGTCTTCAGGGGAACATGAGAAGATAATCATCTTAATCCAGGAGGGATTACTTTAATATATCCCTCTGCCAACTTAGGTGGTAATAGTTCCTATATGAAAAGACACGTTACCTTAAGTTTTGAGGAAGGCCATGAGCGTCGAGTTCATTACCACCGAAGTCCAGAGTATTCAACGCTGAGGGCTCAGAATATTCAACTCAGCATAACACTTAATAATGGAAGTCACACATACCTACAACTCCAATGTGAGCCGTTAGCACTGGTGACATGAACTTTGCGCGTATCTAATTTGAGCCAGTAGGTTTACTGTATAATTATTATTTGTTTGTAGTTCTACATAATGATAGAATATTTTTTCGTCGAAAGGTCTCTTCAGCGAATTAAGGAGAATTTCTACACACTCCATTCACTACAACCACTTGCGGGCGCCATTACCTTCTTTTCGATCATCGTACGCACGAAACCCGCAGGGTCAAACTTGGGCAGCGAGACGACCTTCGCCCCCATGCACAGCGAGTTGAGCAGCACCACCACCATGCCGTAGATGTGGAAGAAGGGCAGCACGGCGGGGATCACGTCCTGGAAGTCGCCTGAAAAAAAACAACCAACATTTTCGTTGATTTGAAATTGAAGAAAAATGTTGTTAGTCATGGAATCGAAAGGCAGAATAAATTTTAAATTTAGCCGCGTTTCAAATGAGTCCTCAGAATACAGTTTCAATATCCTTGGCCCTAGAAGGTGAGACCACATTTTTAAGGTAAAAGAGATCATAGAGCTGTGCCAAATAAGAAATTGACTGAAAAACAGTCCATGTCGATGGGTGCTAATGAATAGGTACACAAGGCTAAATGCTTTATCACAACGTAATTTTGAAAGGTGTAAATGCGGGTTTACAAGGTCCGTACAAGGTCCAATCGATTTGCGAGTTGGTCCGGAGAAACGATTATGCTAGGCAAACGTCGATATTTTTTACTGGTCCTAGTAAAAACTAGTAAAATCTAGTATTTAATGACGACCCGAATACAAAAAACAAAATTCTGTAAGAGACAAATGGAAAATAATTAGAAGTTAACACTACGCTTTTCATCGAAGGGACTTGAACTTACATTAAGGTACAGGGGTCGTGTGAAACAAAACATTGTTGACAGTTCGATTCCCCATCATGACAATGTGTACGTCCACATGTCTCTTTTGATGAGATAAGTCCTGACTTCGAAGAACTTTTCCACGCAGTCAGAATCTTCCGAAAGATCAGACCTGCCTCCTCTTGAATCTTTGTTTTACTTAATAATTAAGTCCAGATGTAAATAGAATCATTTTACAACCATTCACTCCGTCAAAGTGTTCCAACAATTGACAAATTTTCACCGGAATTGTTTTCTAGGAAATGTTAAGAAGGGGAAGTTTAAAAAAACTTTAAGCATATGTGATGCATGTTAAGAAATGGATGTCCGAATGTGAGAGATACTTTAATAAATTCTATATGCGACTATAATGTGTACCCTGGGCGAACAGGCTTAGGGCGTAGCGCACCGACTTCGCATTCGGGAGGTCCAGGTTCAATCCTGGTGACAACCATCCGGACCGACGTTTTCGGGTTTTCCCTCGGTCATCCAGGCGAATGCTGGGATGGTTCTAATGAAACGACACGACCGCAAAACTGGCGTCGCTAGCCGAATTCGTTAACTACGTGAAGTCACGAAGGTTAAGCGAATTCGATACACCGCGGGTTCCTGGTTGGGTAACCGACAGGAATCCCGAGATCTAACGGCATCGAGGTCAATTGCCCTCTACGAGACATATAATCAGTAAATACAAATACAAAAATGATCTGTGCACGGATAACGGATTGAAAGAAGTAGAAGTAGGAATAAAAGCCCTGATGAAGGCTTAATAAAGGATCTAAACGTTGATGTATGGCATTTTAATTGTTCTGATTAATCATTAGACCAAAACTTAAAACAAACATCAACACGAAGTCGTTTTTTTATAAGTTTCAACCAGTGATAGATGCGTTGGAACCGTAGTACCGAGGTTTCCTTCGACAAGGTTTAACCTTATTTACTTCTGAAACGGACGGCGAATCGAAACATAAAGCAGACCTCAACACGAAGTTGTGGTTTCAACAAGTGATAGTTGCGTTGGAACCGTAGTACCGAGTATTTTTTCGACGTCGTTCAACCTCATTTCCTTGTGAAGCGGACGGCGCGCGAGCGGCTGGCAGCGCCACTCACCCTCCGTCTGGCGAATGTGCGCCACCTCCGGGTGCTGGATCTGGTGCATGTTGGCGGTGAGCGCGCGGTGCGCCAGCAGCACGCCCTTCGGCAGCCCCGTGGTGCCCGAGCTGTATGGCAGCACGCACACGGCGTTGGGGTCGCCATCGGGGATGTCCGGGCTGTCCAGCGGCGCGCCGGGACCTGCAGGAAAAGCTCCGGTTTATACTTCGTGGCAGAGCGAGACGAAACTCTTTCAGCTATTTTCCACACTTTATTTCAATAATACAAATCTTGGATTAACGATCACAACAAAGCTCAACGAGAAGCTTCTGGAACAAAAACAAAAGAACGTATCAAAACTGTCGATCGCGAAAACATGGGTACAACTAGCTCCAGCTAGAACAACTAAGCTATGAAGCTAGTATCGAAAGTCCTGCCACTGTCGGGTCTCCCAGTCAGAGTGTGTCGGTTAATGTCCGGAACCATCTAAACCGATGTAGCTTGCTAACTTACACTGATAAATGGTACGTTTATGTTCACTGTTACGTTTACCATTGTGAGTGATTCCATTCAATATCACGGGAAACAGCCTCATTTTCAGATTCATTGTAAATATGTACCTTGAGATTCATTATATCGAGTTTCCGAGCGGAAAATTCATAAGGGCAAGTGTCCGGTAAGTGTAGTTCATGTTTTATCAAGGGAAGAGAAGACGGTGGTGGTGATGATCTTCCCCAACCGGATAGAGATACGGTACTCACCTGCTCATCGACTTGCGGGTTTTCCCCCAACCATTTCCCACCAACGGGACACCTGCTAGAATTCTTGGTTGTTCTAGCCCCAGCTAGAACAACTAAGCTTTGTAGCTAGTGTCGAAAATCCTACCACCGTCGGATCTCCCAGTCAGAGACTCAGTAGTGTCCACCGTCGGTTGATGACCGGAGCCATCTAAACCGGTGTAGATTGGAAACGTCCGCGAATACGTTTACCATTTACGTCCACGCTAATGTTTACCGTTGTGAGTGATTCCATTGAATATCACGGCATCATGCGTCATTTTCGCTGGTGAGTGTGCTCACCGGTGATGTCCTCGAAGCGCAGCACGCCGGGCGGCGCGTCGCCGGGCCCCACGCGCACCAGCAGCGGCCGCTGCCCCTCGGGCCGCTGCGCCAGCGCCGCCCGCGCCAGCGGCACGCACGCCGCGTCCGCGAACACCACGCGCGCGCCGTTGTCCGCCAGCTGCCGCCCCACCTCCTCTGCAACACGCGACCACAGGGCACTCTGGTACCTTCTGGCATTCAGAGCGCATTCACTGCTCATTCACTTATTGAGTCATTCATAACTCGTTCTTCTCTCAGCCTCTCGCCATTCACCACTCATTGATCACTCTTGGCAACGGTTGTTTCAGTGGTTGAGAACTAGGCATGGCACCTTCATTATTTCAGATCACATTAACTGCTCATTCACTTATTGAGACATTCATCATTCATTATTCCCTCAGCCACTCTCCCTTCATCACTCATTCATCCATTCATCACTCATGCACTCATTCATCACTCATGGCAATGGCTGTATTAGTGGTCGAGAACAACGCACCTTCATTCATTCAGAACAATTTAACTGCTCTTTCACGTATTGAGTCATTCATCATTCATTAATCTCTCAGCCTTTCTCCACTCATTCACCCATTCATCACTCATGCACTCATTCATCACTCATGGCAACGGTTGTATCAGTGGTCGAGAACAACGCATGGCGTCTCCATTCATTCAGAACACATTAACTGCTTATTCACTTAGTGAGTCATTCATCATTCATTATTCTCTCAGCCTCTCTCCACTCATTCACCCATTCATCACTCATTCACCCATTCATAAATCAAGGCAACTGTGGTTGAGAACCACGCACGGCACCTTCATTCATTCAGAACGCCTTCATTTCTCGTTCATTATTGAGTCATTCATCATTCAGTCAGTCAGATATTCATTTTTCTCTCAGACTCTCAATTCATCACTCATTCACCCATTCATAACTCATGGCAACTGTGGTTTAGAACCACGCATGACACTTTCATTCATTCAAAATACATGTATTTCTCATTCATTTATTGATTCATTCATCATTCTCTCAGCCTCTCTCCATTTATCACTCATTCACCCATTTGAAAACTCATTTCAACGGTTGTTTCAGTGGTTGAGACCCACGCACGGCACCTTCATTCATTCAGAACACATTAACTGCTCATTCACTTATTGAGTCATTCATCATTCATTCATTTAGTCAGTCATTCATTAATCGCCGAGCCTCTCTCCATTCATCACTCATTCATACATTCATTACTCATTCACCCGTTCATTAATTCATCACTAATTATCCATCCATCACTCAGTAATGCATTCACTCGCTTATTCATTGTCTCACTCAAACAATCACTGAAATGTGGCATCACAAGTTGACGTTCTCATTCATTTTATCCTTATTTCTCCTTTTCTTTTGTTCCAACGCACAATTCTGCAGGCCCACCAAGTGTGCACGCGGATCCAAAGGCATGTATGCCGCATCTATTGAACATCACGAGCCCCGTTTCCCGACAAAAGCCGCCCTACCCCTCCTCCCACTCTAAACTCACACCACACACCACACACGACGCACCAACAGGAAGTCTCTGGATAACTTTAGTACGCAAAGTTCTGGTAACGTTTGTATGTCGTCACTTATTGATCGTTCATCCATGTACTAGGTCATTTATCTTTCATTCATTTATCGATCATTAATTATTCTCACTCAGATATTCATCCATTACTCATTACTGCACTTGCTCACTCATTATAACTAATTCATTCTCTAACACCAACTATCATTTAAGTGCGGTATTACGAGTTGGCATTATCGTTCATTTAATCCTCTTCCGTGCTATTCATTTATTTAATCGCGCAATTATGCACGCTCACCAACTGTGGGCACTGAGCCAATGGTAGGCATGCCGCATCCACAAATAGCACGTGCACAACGTTCTACAACAGCTGGGCGACCCAGCTTCAATGCAGCAAGCACACACAACTCATTCATATAGGAAGAACTAGTGCTTTTCATCAACTTGCAAGGCGCAAAATTAAAAACTGTAAATGCATTTAAATAATTCATTTATTTTGCTTCTTTCTGGCAGCGGTGAGATCTAGTGAATAGGGATATGACCAGAGTGAGCTTGTGAGTACAGGAAATCGTAATGAGATGATTCATGACGAAAGTATGGGGGAATAATAACAGGAGAGAGAATTTCGAAACACCCTCTCTTCGTTTTTCATAAATTCAACGTTAAGAGGCCAGAATTTCAATCCCGATACTCAGTGATACCCGTAAGGCTAGTGAATGCTCCGAGATTATATTTTGATGAAAAGTAATAATTATAATAGTAATAGTAATATAATAATAATAATAATAATAATAATAATAATAATAATAATAATAATAATAACAACAACAACAACAACTAGGGGCAGATTTTAATGAAATCTCATTTTTTCTTTTCATTGAATTTTCTTTTCATCTTGAACAATTTCGTGTAATATAGAAATTCATTTTAAGTAATGACGAAACGAAATAACCAATTCTATACGTCATTTTTTTGTTGCATTTTTCGTCTATTTCTACTAATAAATCACTTTACCTTTTTACGTCATTTTTAATGCATTTTTGATGATTTTATCGATTTTAAAATCATGTTAATGGCACTTGCTTCAAACAATATATACGAAGTGCAACAATTGTTTCCCACAGAATTCCTGAGGAGCATATTGGATGTCTTCGCTCAGTATATTGTAATGTCAGCCGTTGTGAGTACTATGTAATCTAAGGTTCCCGTGATGCCTATCAGCATCATTGACAGTTCGGCCGATTTCGCGATAAATTAAAGCGGAGATATTCTTTTAAAGAACACTCCAAACAAAAAGTTTGCAAGCTGAGATTACTTGAACAATAGGAAGAAACTTCGATTATATCAGTAACATAACCATCAGCCTAAGTTGTTCAGTTGAAGTGGTTTTGATAAAAAATATTATTTGTTTTTAGTGCATTTTTAAAGCCTTTTAAGTGCATTATATTTATCTTTTTTGGCAATGTTTTAGGACATAAAAATCCGCTCCTAATCATAACAACAATAGGAATAAGAATGTAAAAGGAACTCATGTTCTTCCCTTTATATTATCACCCTCGCTCTTCCTGCAAAAAGTGTCCCAGAGCTTCCCCGCTTACTCCCGTGGGCCGGCAGACGGGCCAAAGTAGTCGGACGAACCGGAAAAATCCAAATGCGCGTAGGCGGCATACACGCCAGTCGCATATTATTTGAAATGGCAATGAATTGTTTGATTTTATTATTTTCTTTGGGACCATCATGAGCCATAGTAATGAACCTTAAGTGACATTTTACATTGATGAAAAGATAACAGAACCTTAGCCTATCAATAAGTTTAATTCTCGGATATACGTAGAACTGTGTAGTAAGGGAACGTTAGAGAAGTTCCCCATTACTCGTGGTGTAAATGACGTAGCCTCTCCTGTAGTACATCGAAAACCATATAATGGTAATTCCCTATAAATTATAGAGACTGCAGAGTTATACGCATTCAGAAAACATTATTGGCAAATCAAATATTGACGGAGTAAGAATTGACAGTTCACATTCATATGACCGGATTGGACATCTAAGAGTTAGGACGGGATGAACATGTCAACGGAACCGTGCGAGTTTTCGAGTGCATAAGAATATATTTATAATAAATTCCTTCCTTTCCCTTTTCTTAAGCTGACAAGGGGACTCGAAACAGGATATTTGAGGAAGAGGCTTTCAAAAATCGCATGACAATCCTGTAAATGGTTTAACATAAAATAAATTATATTGATT